GCCTTTGTATTCAGTCCTGCACAATCGATGCTTTGTTAAATTACCCTTTGCTTTAATTGAGAGATGAACTCTCAATTATAATCTGGTGTGGAAAATGCAACTAACTCACTGTTAAATTTGGTCTTTGAACCACCTTAAAATAAATGGGGCTTTGAGACAAAACTGTATACATACAATGTGCCGCGTATTTGCAGGGGTTTGGGGCCGCAACCACCTGCGAATACTTGAGACTCCCCCTAAAATTACATATGACTTTCTATTTTAATAGGTTATGCTCAACATATACCTTATTAAATATCAATATACGCAATGGAAACCATCTTGGAGAAGCTAACATCCACAGCCTTTCTTGTCTTCCTTCACTCTTAGGTTAGAGCCAATCAAAAAAAAAAGAGTGCACCAGTCAATAACATGTCAATTGGCATTCAACCTAGGTGTTTTAGCTTCTCAAACTCCATTTAAAAAAAAAGTATAGATGATCTAATAATCCTGAACTACAAATAGGCATTGTTGCACTTTATAACTGTTGCTGTAGACACTTCTTTGACTGCTCTGCAGAATATAATTAGCACCTTTGTATAAATGGATAGCAGCAAAGCTACATTAGCTTCTATCCAGTCAAACGGACAAAACACACCATCCAGTAAAATGTTAATTTACCATTAGTCACTAGGCAACTAATCAAAGCAGGAGGTGAAAATTGCTACTCCAGGCTTATTCTGCATGTCATGAGAACAAAACATCTTTAAAAATCCTTCCTTGTGCAGCTGTAACACTTTGTGCTTTTTGGTGGTTTTAATAACACTGCCTTACTGTGGCTTCTGCTGCAGCACACCACAGACTTTTATATGACAGATGATCAATAAACCTTGATTCTTTTCTTTTTTTTAAAAAAAAAAACAACATATGAGAGTTTAGGGGGTTTTTTTCATGGCATTTTTTTTCTTTTGAACAAATCCCCTTCTGCAACAGTAACCACCAGAACTGGCGTCCCCCAGGGATGTGTTCTCTCCCCACTTATCTGTGAACAAATGACTCCTCCTCAGCAAGTCTGCCTCTGAAACTCCTGTAGTTTATGACACTGCTGTCTTTGGTCTGAGCCAATGACCGGGTTTAGTGGTTGAAAACCAAAGTCAGATTCCTTGTTTGTGCACACATTTGTAAACAATAAAACTGATTCTGATTCCGATTATTTGGTTTTTATTGCTGAAAAGAAATTAGTCACTTGCCTCTCGGTAAGAACATGAAACCATAATGCCTAGAATTTGCCACATAGAGGATAATACCATCTCAGTGTTTTGGCAGATTTTTAAGATCTTCTTATCCTTCATTTTTTGAACTCACCCCTTCTCCCAGACATTTCTTAGACTACAGTTCTTCTCAGCTCTGCAGAAGAATTTCAAATCTTCATAACTTTGAGTTAAGTTTTTAGGAATTTGTTTGGAAAGATTCCAACATTTCGGCTTCATTTTATTTAGATTTGTGTACGCAGTACAATCAGAAACATTTTAATCACTCAACCTGCTTTTAGGCCAGCTGTGTTGCAATCAAGGCAATTGAAACAGGATGAAAAATAAATGCCTGCAAGTGTTATTCAATCTTTTTTAACCCCTGCTTTGGACCTTACTCTGCTAATGGCTTGCTAATGAATATACTGCCTCTGGGTTCATTAAATTCACCAGTTTCCACAAACCACTTAATTAAGCCCACACCTGTCTGTGTGGTTAATTTGTTGTTTGGTCTAGTATTCATGTGTTAGCTTCAGCTAGTTTTTGAAATTTAATTGTTTTTTTGTTTTTTTTTTTGTTTGTTTTTTTTTAACATTGTTAGGGGAAGGTGGAATTTGGCATAGCTGATTCCTCATCAGATGTTCTTTCTGCCATTTTCTGAGCCCTTTAATGACTCGGAGCGGTAAATTGGTTAAACTCTTGCTCTTATAGATGTTCTCACGTATGCCGATTACTTTGTTTTGCACATTTGAGTTGCCTTCCCTTTTGGCAACTCTCCCTCTGGGCTCCTATGGAGACAGTGTAGTTTATACATTTCTTCATTTTCATGTGTTTTGGCCTCGTCCACATAAACACTGTTTCATACCACTAAAAATTATTTATGAAAACTCCATATTTGTGTTTGTGTGCGTATTTGGGGAAAATTGAGATTTCTGATCTCATGTATTATAACTTGTGACAAATAATGCGTCAGTATATCCACGTACTTGGTTTGACATGATTCCCAATCAACATTGTCTTGTGTTTTATTAACTTTGCATTTAACTTTATTTAAAAAATAATTGAATTTATTCTTTAGTCCACACAAGTGAACTTACTGATTCCATGTTTAATTCCTAAAAGGAAGTCTGGTTGTTTCGAATCAATCTAATTGACTGACCTGGGTCTGAGCTGTGCGCTACACTGCCCCCTATGGATTTGGCATGTTTAAAGCAACAATAAGGGGCGGATTTGTGCTGGTTCTTATGGATGAAAACCTTTCTGAAATAGATCCGGTGTGTATGATTTTGCTGTTTTACAATGGTGCGGCGCAGACTGTGAAGATCTGGTTACCTGTGCACAGTGCCTTAGAAACTTTAGCTACGGTTGTGTTCATGAGTTTACATACCCCAACAGAGGAGAGCAATAATGATTTTAAAACAAACAAAAAAAAAAACATGCTGGGATGTAAACTTCTACGTAATGCTACCACAAACAAACTTGGAACAGCAAGTGAAGTAAAGTTATGACAACAATGTTTAAACTAGAGCAATTTTAGAAAGAAAAAGTAGAAGTATTTTTAAAGGACAAGTGGTGAATAAATACAAACTTAACTATGTCACAAAGAAGATTGCACACCTTTCATATTTGACTGTAAATATACATAGTTTTTCTCACACTTCCACTGAAATTGGCTGCTTTTTATTGGCCAACCCAAATTAAGCTCAATGAACTGTGTAATGTAACATTTTATGTGTAAAAGTGCAAGGCCCCCCGACGAAAAGTTAAATTGCTGATTTTTATGAGGAGGAGGAGAAGGTTGGATTCATTTTCTGTTCAGACAAAAACTGTTCATTCATATCTGCAGTTCAAATTGAATTTCAATGCTGCAACACAAAGCTGAGGTGTGGATTCATTTTGAAAGTGTGGAGAGTAGCAAGGTTCACTCTTGAGTTAAGTTGAGAGGGGACTAAATGATGGTTCATGGAATCTCTCCTGTTGCTGCCTGACGGATTACTGTTGGAAGTAGCAAGGTGGCTGGTGGGGAACTGCAGGTGGCGGCTGGCATGTGTTTCCTCAGCCTTACAAGAGATGTGGGAGTAAACCTGAACAAGGACAGCAGTTGGAGCAAAATACAAACAAAAAGAAACAAAACAACTGAGCAAGGAGTGACTGACGATGAACTGAGGACAAACTTTTCAGCCGTTCCTTTGCAGTAAGTGGCAGACAGAGATGCGTTGGGTGGGCGTACTGCAGGAGGGGAACTGATGAAGCAGAGGTGTGACTGCCTGATTGAAGTGGAATCTGGAGGGATGCAAGTGGTGCCAGACCCACACACACACCAACTCTTGCAATAGCAGAAATTTGCATGCACAAGCACCCAAGACCAAACAGGGCACAGGGGTGGTGGGGAGGATTGTTGGAAAGGAATGGAGTGCACTGCTGGAATCATGATGGGGAGTCTTTGGATATTTGAAAGCTATTAAGTCAAACATCACTTGCCCCAAAAACATTTTTTTGGGTATGTTTTATGGCAAACACTCAAACTTCTCTGGATATAAATAGCAAAGTTTCATTCTGTCGGGAAATCCAAGCTAACAAGTCACAGAGCAGCGACGTTTTACCAAGCCTTCATTGAATTAAAAGTAGCTTTTAACTTCCCTAGACATCACTACAGGTGACTAAATGATGTCATCACTTAACTTGTATAGAAACATTGACACTCTTAAGAGAGACGCAAACTGTATCCAGAGAGTACCTATAACCCAAAATATGTTCATAGCGCCTCGTGAACATTCCTCTGATTCTTGATTTGATTGGTCACAATTACCAACCTTCTTCCTCCATTTGGACCTGAGACATGCAGGACCTAAGTAGATCATTCTGGATTTACTTACGTCTTTATGTTTTAGTCTAGTTTTTAAAATCTGGTTTGGTTTTCATCTCTATGGTTGACAGTTTTAACCCTAATTGCTTTAACCTGTCTTTTGTGTATAACCTACATTATCAATAAAAATGGCAAAAAAAGGAGACAGGAGGCAAATATCTTTTATGTTAGACAGAGCAATTGTACACTATCAGCCATTGTTACTAGAGTATGTGTTCTGATGCACGTTAAAAGTACTTTTGAAAGTTGTCAGCACTTACACAGGTATTAAGCATACTTTTAATCATATATATTTCTGTATTTATGGGGTTTTTTATTGGTCTGATGGAATATTTTAATTTTAAACATCATGTTTTGATTAAATGTAAGCAGAAAATCGTCATAATGAAGGCTCATAAAGCCAGATAGTTCTTTTACCTGGGTGGCGAGTTCACTGGTTCCTTTTCATGTCATGTATAATTATCGCATAAAAAACGTGACTAGAAATTAAACTGATTTCCAACTTAAAATGACCAAACATGTCAGTTTAACTGCACCTGAAATGCATGACTGCATGCAGATCACTTCCACAATGAATATGTTTTAAGATCAGCATAATGCTGCAACCTCCAATTTTTAGGGTTGGGTTTGTTGTATTAAGTGTTAAGTTACACACATAAACTCTAAATGTTGGACAATAACAGCCTACATAAATCCATTTGCAAAGCGCTGTACCATAAGTCACTTACATGTTGCTTCAACCACCCTGAAATATACCATGTTTCAATACTTGGTGAGATCAGTTACAGAGATGAATTATGTTTATTTACTTATTTGTATTTTTTTAATAAAGCTTTTATTTCTCAATCTGGTGATTTAGGTCAAACCCAATTTGACCTGACCTTTCTGTCTTCTGCCATCATCAGGGCGTCTGCGCCGACCCCCACGCCGCCTTGGCTCTGCCCCACGACTCCAAGCTGGGAAAGGAAAAAGACGAGGATCCGTTGCTCCATCTGCCAGACACTGATGAGATGACCATCAGGATAGGTAGAGCTGGACCTGTCACAGGCAAGCCCTCCCCACCCACCCTCTTCATATACCCACATCGGCTGTTTTGTGCTCCAATTCAGAAGCTCAAATGGTACTGCATGGAAATTTAAGAATTTGCACCTGCAGTTATTGGGGTCACACTATTTTTGACTTTTTTTTCTTTTGCCACTATGAAAAAAATGAATGATTTTGCTCTGATGGAAACCAAGAGAAGGCACAAAGAGTGACTCCATTGGCTAAGAAACCTTACTTGACCTTCTCTGATGGCTGTTTACCAGATCTTTCTATGGTGCCTTTCTTGTCTCTTTGTCTTGCCTTTAATCTCCTAGAAACTGGATTGATTGGTTTCAAACTTTTAAAGGTTACTTGAACAATAACATTTTCTGTGCTTGCCTGAAGATTACAAAAAAATTATTTTTTACTTTTATTTACAGTATAACATCAGACTCAAAGGAGTCTGATGTTATAGATCATACAGTTAAACTGTAATAGAAAGCCATGCTCTACTGAATGATGTGGACCAGTGTTGCAGTGACATGTCATTGCAAACAAATAACTATATGTGAAGATTGAAAACAAAAAAAACCCCACAATTTTTGAACAGTTTTTTGATTGCTATTCTCAGTTGAGTCTGAACGATATGTCTCTTCTATTCGGTGTTTCTCTCTAGATCTCCTGGGAAATTATCCTGCTTTTCTAACGATAATCACACTGCAAGTAATCATTCCAAGCATGCTTGTCATCTCACTGTCACTACGAACAATGATGGCTTTATCAACACACTTTCTGTTGTGTCTGACTGCTGCAACAATTTTTTTTCCACTGAAGGGGAAAATGTACTAACCATATCTTGCAAGAAAGATGAACTAATCAATAGATGCATACAAAGAAATCAATGAATGTAAATAGTTTAAATATCAACTTGGTTAAGACTGTAAATCTAAAATTATCAAACTGATAGAAGTAAAGCCATTACAAAGGCTTCATGGTGAAATATTGCAATTATTTAATCCAAACAGAGGACAAAAAAAAATTCTGTCCTCCGTTATCACAAACTAACATTTTTGGACGCAAAGGAAAAAAGGCCCTCTTGGTTTACTCCTCACAATGAAACCATTGGTTTGAGTTGAAGCAGAGCAGCTCCACATGAGAAACATACTTAAAAACTCTTTGTAACCACCTCGATTGAGACAAATTACAGTATAAATATACTAAACACAAAAAGACGGCATCAAACGAACGTTTGGGTAATTGCAAAACAGCTCCCTGTCACATTTTGTTGCATTATACTTCTAAAATTCAAGATGTTTTATTCAGGTTTTATGTGATAAAACAACCCAAATAACCTGGTCTGATTAGTATTGATTTCAGCTGCAACATTTAGATGGCATGGTCAGAATTTGGCATAAATAAACATGAAGACATGTATCCATCCTCCCTTTCGTCAGGGTAAGCAGTATTGACATGCTACACTTTGGGCGCCTTACTGGCAGCTAGCATCGGTTCCAAAATAAAGACTATTGTGCACCCAGCGGAGGCTACTTCCCTGTCACAGAAGGCAACATTATTGTGAAATCATAAATATATTGTATGAAATGTATGAAACTCATTAAGCTGTACTTAGAAACACACACATACACAACTAAAACGAGGCAGTAGACTTCATCAAGAGGTTCATGACTGTTGCAAACCTACTTTTCATCATTTGGCCTCCGAACTAGAAGCTCATTTAAAGGGGACTTTAGTCTGCAGGCACCTCCGCACCTTTAAACTTTAGACTCTGTGAAAGAACAAGGGAAAAAAAAAAGGAACAAGATAATTTATCCCTTTGGGAAAGAGAACACAAACTTAACACCTCATCTGACTTGTATGTCAGTAAAATTCACAATCTGTGTCAATTACCGTCTCCCCCGGAGTATCCCATCATTGCTTAATTAACAATGGAAGAAAAGCAAGGAGGAAAAATGTCACTGCTCACAGGCACTGATTTTTACAAGAGACGTTCCAAAGCAAAACCACAGTCGTCTTCTTTATTGAGGTTAAACTTATAAATGAAATGAAAGTAGAAGTTAATTGTAGATTGTTTTGTTTGTTTTTAAAAACATTCTTATTTTTAATAGTGTACAAAGAAGCTGAGCTCTTATGTAGTGAGTGCTTCTGCCTTTACCAGCAGGACAAGCTTTGCTGGAGCTCATTTGAAATAATCAATTCCCGGTTGGGTGTCCACAGTTCGCAAAGACGCTGCATTAAGAAAGCTTAATGCACGCTTAAAACTTCCATCTAAACAGAAGACAGACGTCACTGGCATTTCTAATTATATCTTATTTCCTGTTGATTCACAGATTAGCCAAATAAGAAAAAAAAAGGGGCGTCTCATTCAATTAACTCACACAGACTGGGAGTGCTTGCTGGCAAATTAAATGTCTTTAATTAATCCAAATGGCTGCAAATATGGGTTATTTTTGTGACAGTCTGAGTACTTCAGAGGCACTTTTATGTAACTTACTTGCACCTCTTTTAAAGTCTGTACATTATTGGCAGCGGTTGCATAATGATGGGTTTTTTTAAACTTGTTTTAAGACCCAAGGGAGGTTCAGACGTACATTTTTAGTGCTGATTGATGATAAAAGTATTTGCTGTGATGTTGCTTTAAATGACCTGTCAAAACCAGCTGTGTTTTAAGTCTAATAATAAAATGTCTCAGCACTAAAGAGCATTTAATAAACAGTTATTAAATGTGATTCCATTAACCTTATAATAGGTCACTTTGACATTTAGGACATAAATTAGCTCAATGGAAACATGTCAATTTTGAAAACTCCTTTTTCAATAAAGTTTTGGCCCTCAGATGAGTTTTTTCTTTCTTTTTTTTTTATCGAAATTAGTTTATTTCACAAAACTGCAATGGAAACTTTTTTTTTTTTTTTTTTTGAGTAGCATGATCAACAACTGGACATTACCGCTGGCAGAAATCACAAAGAAGACTACAGGAAGTAGTTGAAAGAAGAGGATGAGACATGTTTTTAGTGACTTATTGTGTGAACAAAATTATTCATTTAGGATTTTAATTAGGTTTCTTATTTAATGGAAGCACCGCAGGTGCAAAATTGTCTGTTTTCCGACACAAGCATGATTTCGACTGTTTTGTGCGCGTTTGTAATGGAAGTACAGCTCATGTCTTTATTTATCTGAATTTAGAAAAATAAAAATCTCATTCCGTTTTTAGTGAATATAAATACATTATTTCACTTTTATACAGAGGGGATTTTTGAATCATGTTCTAATGAGATTGGGTTGAAAGAAATGCCTTATTGCTGATATCTGGACCCCCATATTGCACTATTGCTTATTAAAACCATGTGACATCCTTTCCTGGAGGGGAGAAATAATATAAGAAAAAAACGTGAATGCACTAATGTGAATGAACTTGACAAAAGATATTGTTAAAAACCCTGGGCTCAGAAATAATGTGGATATGTGGATAATGTGGCGGGAAGTCAGCTGGGTGGCTAGATATATTCACGATGGTAGGAAATGACTACACGGTCTGTTAGTAACACTTCCTAATTTGATTCAAAGCCCTCTTGAAATAGTCTCTTCATGAGACACACAAAAAAGAAAACATCACCCTGAAAGACCAATAACAATTACGGTTTTAATTCCCCCAGGAAAAAGGGCTGACAGTGAAAGATCAATTACCGGGCTTCGCTAATTTAATGGACAAATTAAAATCATCTTCACGGCAACATTCTAATGGCAACCTTGATTCTGCTTTTGCTGGAAAAGCAAACTCTCATCAAGAGGCTACATGCCGAGCATCTATTCTGCTCTGGCAACATCCTGGGCTTGGAGGAAGCCAGAACCTGACACGACATCGAAGCTCACAAAGAAGTCACGACTGGGTGAACGGCATCGCCCAACTGTCAGTTAAACCTGACCGAGTGACAATCCCCCCGACGGCAAAACCTGTCATCCTAACATATGTTTCCGCAACAAAACTCTGACCCGAGCGTCAAAACAGTCGATGCGTTTCAGTCACGGCTCATCAGCGTCAGATCTGCGGCGCTTTGGTTTCAATATAGCACCCGCAGAGCAAGGCCTAATTGTAGCCTTGGAGGTTTCTGCTAATGATATGGGTTTAAAACTGAGGAGGGAGTTCGCGCCGTCGCATGCTGCTGGGCGAGAGGACGGATATAAGAAAGGAGGGGGGAAAGACACCATGCTGAGTACTGCAGTACTTCTGGACTGTACTCATATGCTGGTGTTCAGAATTTAAAGCATTTCATGGCCTAAAATTAAAACAATTACCAAACTTTACCTTTAACCATGAAGTATAACCCTTCTTTATCTCTCAGATTCTTTGTCATTTTGTTTCAACTTTTTGTCTTTGCATTAATTCAGTATGATTGAAATCTGAAATCTCTTCTCCCTTTAAAGTCTGATTTAATTCTGTTGCCTTTGTTTTTATCTGCTGTTGGGTTTCATCTCAGTTAAAATCTTTACAGCACTTTTCAAACGTTTCTCTTGGTTCCAAAGACTCTTCATGATTTTTTTTTTCATTTTTTTTAAGCCATCACAGAAGACAAACTCAAAGCTGGATCAATAATTTGATGTGAGGTATATGAATGTGGACGGTATACGGTTGCCTTTTTGACACATTTTTTCTCTTCTCTAAGTTTAATTATTAATGAATTGCTTAATTTATTGCTGTGACAAATGTGCTTAGATAATTATGCTGCAAGAAAAAATAAAAAATCCCATGGCATTCAGAGGGGAAAAGAGTGACATGGAAGAGAGAGGGCTCAGACAGTAATAGTGGGATTTTCTACATGTGCAAAAACAGAAACATTGGTGAAAGAGTTAAAAAAAAGATGGAACCAATTTTAACTTCATAAAATCCTTTAAACAAAAACACTTTCTCATAAAGCCAAAATGGAGTCCAAATGGATTGATTAATTTGATGTTTCTCCCATGATAGTTTTGTCTAAATTAGTACAATTCGCCTTCAAATTCACCAA